GTAAAAATGCATCTCAAAGTAAAAAAAAAAAAATACCACTCCAGTGTTTTAAAATGTATTCATTTTATTGCCACAGAATAGAAATTAGTAGAGATTAGGGTAATTTGTGGTTTCCAAGTTTCTTCTAAGTTATGACTATATACAATTATTTTACTGTATAGAATTACTTATAATCATTTGTGTGTGTGTGTGTGTGTGTGTGTGTGTGTGCATGTTTGTCTATGCAAGTGAATGCCTCAGATGCACAAGTATCCACAGGGGCCAGAAAAGGACATCAGATGCCCTTGAGCTGAAGTTAGCAGTAGTTGTGCAGACCCAGGTCCCATATTGAGCACCTGAATCCAAACTGAGATCCCGTGTAAGAGCAGCAAATGTTCTTAACTGCTGAGCCATCTCTTCTGCCCCTTTCCATGTAATTGTTAATAATACCAATTCCTAAACAAAAAAAAGTAAAAATAAAAACTTACGGGACAGAAAGCTTTCTTTTTCAGATTCTCTTGTTTCTGTTACTAATAAGCAGTATAAAATTTATATTTTCTCTATAGAATGGGGCTACTTTCTTTGCTCCATTATTTTTGTAAAAATTACAGGTGTTTAATGTTAGTATTTATGTAAAATTTCTGGTCCTGTGTTTGGCTTATCTACACAAAATATAAAGGTTGCATCATGCTTACTGTTATTATACTTAATGTTCTACCTTTATACCAGTTATAAATCTATGTGTAATTAATTTTTAAATTGCCATACAATTGCATGTTTCCACACATTTACTTAAGTATTTCTATAATAAGAAGTAAGCCTTCCCAAAGAGCTAGCAGGTTGATGAACAACATTTTTTAACAAGTGTTGTCTCACCAGAATTTAAAGTAGTTTGTTCACTCAAACTTCTTACTCATTATACTGTATTCCCATTATAACCAAACAGAACCAAACCCTGAATGTATCTATGTTGCATGAATACAGAAAGAATTCTATAAAGGGTGTCGCTACCACCTCATATGTGGTTTAGACATCACCAGCCCAAGCGATTTTTAAAGGAACACAAATGAAATAAAGGCAGTATTTAAAAACCATATTTTGAAAATGTTGATTTCTTTCATTGAATTTTAAAACAATGTTTATGTGTGATTTGATATATACTTCATTTAAATATGGCAAACAATTCATTTGTTATAAAGCTGAGTGGCTTTGGTTCCATTAACAAACCAAAAGTGAATAATACCTAAATATTAAAAGAAAGACTTGAAATTACTGGCAAGGTTGTCAAATGCTAGCAAATTAATTCTATTTTAGCCAAGCTTGTATATTGTAAGACTTTGGAAAATATTAGTGGGCACAAAACTTTCTTAATTATTAATGCTATTTTTATTTCAAATACTTTGTTAAGAGCTCAAATTTGGTGTTTTAGTGAGTTCTCATTTGTCAGGAGATTATCAGTGTGCCAATGGAAACCTCATTGTTTGAAGAAATCCATAGGAAGTTCATGCCGATCTTCAGAATGTATGTAAAGAGAATGCACAAGGACTGATTCAAAGTGTGCCATGAGAATTTTATCACTTGCATGAAGTAACGTCAGACATAAGAATGTTCAGCATCTTTAGGAGCCAAAATTGAGTTCAGTTCTTGGCAGTAGATATGATGTTGGCAGTGGAACCCAGCATAGCTTTCTACTGCTCATGAGAGAAGTATCCTGTTAAAAACACTGCGTGAAAGGTTGTCATTCTAAACTTGGAGAATTTCCACACCCATCTCCAGAGAATCCCGCTGTATTTATTTTTTATAAATTTAAAAATTTATCCATATATATATATATATATGTGTGTGTGTTACGTATATATATTTAACATATATATTATATAGCTTAGATGTTTATATATAAATATATGTATGTATAACATGTGTACATATGAACACACATATATATGTAATGTTTTCATATTTTTAAGTTTAGTTTCATACTACTCTGTCATTTCTCTCAGGTAGGAAAATCCAGACTACGGATTTTAGGTATTTTAGGTCATGAGTTCCTGTATCATTCAAGGGATTGGTTTCTTTCTTTTTATTTTGTGGTTTAAGTTTAAGTCTTGGGGGTGTCAGGGACTACTTTTCTCTCCTTTCTATTTGGTTGTGTCCACTGATATTTCTTCATCCTGGTGAGCCCTGGTCCCTGCCTTTCTGCAGAAGCCTGGCAGGTGTGTACAGCTTTCCAAAACAGCCTTGACGTTTTTCCCTCTAATAAGCCAAGGGAACATTCCACAGCTTCTTCCATGGGACAGCGGGTGAGTCCTAATGGCATGGGAGAGGTTCTGAGTTTATAACTTATATAAACTTGTATATATTTTATATAACTTCCATAAACTTATGTGAGCCTTGTATAGAATACATGGGAGCCAGACTAGCTCATAGGTTCACAAGGACAATCAGGTTATGATAATGAACCTAAATTAGAACTGGCATATCAAACAGTAACAAGGGATGGCCAGGTTTCTGTCACTGCATTGTCACATCCTGCTGTCCATGCTGTGGAAAGAAGCAGGGTGCCGGTGCCTGAACCTCAGCTGCTGCCATTTGCTTTTTAAAAACATTCACAGTGTTAATTGTGATGATCTTCTGATTTTTTTTGTCTGTAACTCTGAACATTTGAGGCTACAAAGGATCCATGGCTGAACCCCAGAGAGTGTTGTGTAACAATTTGAACAATTTCATTTGGAGAGACTATCTTACACTGAGACGCACTTAGTAATTGCAAATGGCTCCATGCTGCTTGTAGCTGGTTTCCTGCAGATATTTTCAGTATTCCCAAAACTGGTATTTAGAGCTTTACTCGGCTACTACAGTTTCCTGTTGTTCCATACTTTGGTAAAGATTAGATCAAAGATGACAAAACTTAGCTTACCTGTGCCCCTTTTAGTCCATCACATCTGCTATCATTTATGTGCCCATCGTGTGGACCTGGGATAGTAAGAAAGAATAGACAATGAAAACGTAACTGAGCAGCATTTTTTAAAGAGGCAAATGTTTACAATTTTAATTGAGGACAAACACAAACACACACTTCATAAAACTATTAAGCATGCAACTCCAGCTGCAGAAACTAAATAGCAAAATGCCTCAGCTGAGAAGCAGCAAAAAAAGTAAACCAATCACATTGACAAAAAGCCACCATAAACAAAAAAAACTATGTTCAAAAGAGTAACGGTTTTGGTATGTGTCCCTACTATCAAGTCTTTTGATTTCTTTCTCTCCATCAAAATTTAGCTTAACGTTTGATGTTAGCAAGAGTTGCATTACTGTTATTGCTAATTTTAGTTCTGTTTATTACCTTGAGGGTTATAGATTGTAAAATCATTTTGCTGCCTCTAGTTAATTTTAATTAGCTGTTTTAAAAGCCTGTAGACCTATTTGTTATATATATATTTTTTGTAGGTTTACTTTTTTAACTATCAGGAACTTAATAACTGAGAAGATTTAACATTACTGCTGCATAGGCAAACTTACAGAGTTACTATTAGTGTTACCTGTTTAACGTTTAGTCATCCTGTGAATCCTGCGACATATTTCCTTAATAATCATCAGCCATCAAGTCTGATAGTCTCAAAAGAAATATCAGCCCTCTAAACTGCCTTCAAGGGCGGTGATATTTAGCACTGAAAATTACAAATAAAGTTTTTTGAGGTTGAATAGCAACATCTAGCCATTGACACTGATGATTTCTTGGTCAAACAAACTGTTATCAACTACGCGAATGAAGTCCACGCACTCCTTCGAGTGAAAACAATAACGTGAATCTATGCAATGCTTACATGTTGGATGGGATATTTAAATGTGCGGGGAAACTCAAAGGTTGAAGAACTAGGCATTTAGACAGTGGTAAGTGGTAATCTTACCTCTTTATACTCCATTACTCTTTCTCACGAGAGACATGCTAGTGCAAACAAGTCAATCAGAATTTGTGTTTAGCAAGATAAAGCTTAGAGGATAGTTTAAAATCCATTTATTATTCTAAATCCATTTCTTCCATTAACATGTTATACATTAGTGTTCACTAACCATGATTCATGTCACAGTTTAGTTTGTTAACTTTTAAATTATTTAACAACCATAAGTTATTGATACATTTTTAAAAGGATTACACAGATATCTTAAAACAGGCTTGGGTTCATTTTTGTAAATTTTAAATAGAAAACATTTTAGGCATCTCTTGAAAAAGAAATAAAGCAGGCATTTAAAGTTAGAAAACAAGTAATTCCAAATTTAGTTTTTACAAAAGCCTTCAGCTTTATTGACAAATTATGGCAAACATATTTGACAAATTGTGGTTCCTATTTAGAGAAGCTTACACATGGAACACCATGTGTGTTTTTTTCTTTTTTCTTTTTTTAACAAATACAGGTTAAAACACTGAACAAATTCAGTTAGCTACATACATACAGTAGCTGCTTGTTTTCAACCCCATTAAAACAGCATTTAAAAATTAAATTTACAACTTAATATTGAACATCTCCATCTGACTAACAGATATTAAAAGACAGGTTAAAACATCTTATCTACAACTTTATTATCAGCTAGTTCAAAATCATATTACAGTCTTTTAACCACCCTAAACAAAGGTTCTGCTAGTTGGTTGAGACTCGAAATCTAACAGATTCATGCTCTTTCTTCCAAAAGAAAAGGGAAAAGGAAACTAAAAAGAAAAGAGAAGAGGGGTTTACACACAACAATTAAAAAGAAAACAATCAAGAGAATATCAGCCTACAGAATGGTTTATAAATTATTCTTGCCAATGTCTTTGTTTTTCAATCTATTTTGTGAAATAATACTAATGTCCATGTCACATTAACAGTATAAGGAAATACAAGAATAGATGGGGTAATTATAAGCAGTTATCCCTAGAATAGAAAAAACAAACAAAAAAAGGACTATTACTTGTCTGGTTGCTGTTTATGTGGAGACCACAGGCTATGAATTTTCTTTGAGGAGGTCACAGATGAAGAGGACCTTCAATATCTACCATAGGGGTGTTCCCTGAATCCCCCTCTGGCTGACCTTGGTGGTGGTGCCTTCAGGCTGGAGCGAGTTGTGGCCCATTCTTCCGGTGCTACAAGAAAGATAGTGACAGACACATGACTTCACAATTCCAGGTAAAGAAAAGTCGTTCAAGAAACAGTGGTCTGCTCATAACAAAATGTGCTCAACAATGAAAGATAAATCCTACTACTGTTTCAGATGGTGAGACTATGCACATGTAGGTGGTGTATGTGATAGTCATTTGAACTAAGTTTTCCTCATATCTGACAAAGAAGGGAAAGTCAAACTACTAAGATAAACGCACATTTGCCATGCACTACATTTCAATGCTACTACATTGCAAGAAGTGTTTAAACATAATCTTGTCATTTAATCTTTCAATGAAAACTTCTAAAGCAAAGTGCACATAGTAAATTCAGTGGTTCTCAGCCCTTGGTTATTGTGAGAATCAAATAGGACTCAGAGTAAAACAAAACAAATCCAAACAAAACAAAACGCCTAGTCTCTGTCCCATAAACTAATTGATTGAAATGCACTGCGGTGCAGGATCTCTGTGTTGTACCTTTTCAGTGCCTCTCGTTTCATCCAGAGTTAAAATCTATGATAAACTTCAGATGACAAAGGTACAGAGCAGAGAAAGTTGAAGTATGGAAGTATGTACAGAAAGATTTCTCAAATCCCTTTCCCGTAAGCTACATGGAAAATATGATGGCCCTTAAAAGGCTAGGAAAACCCTTTAGTGTTATAAAACTTAGCCTATCCCTCCAAAGAAGAATCCAGAAAAAAAAAAGCCAGCTAAGTATTTGAGAGGCGTGGGAAACAGAGACTGTAAAAAGTCTGAGTTTCCCAGAAAGGAACCGACTCTTCCTCCCCATAGCTTACAAGTGGATTCATGGTGCCAACCCATATGATTCCAGAAACTAGCTTATCTAGGTCCCTTACTCAGAATTTACGTACTCATAGACAGCAGACATGGAAAGGCAACTCCCAGTAAGAAAGATATATTAATAAAATGACAGATATCTACTGGAGAATCTCCACCGAGGGCAACTGATGTAGCCTTTCTGCCCTGTGATGCTCCTTGTAATAGGTTTTAAAAAATTTCTAAAACAGGACGTTAAAATTTAAATTTCAGTATAAGATGACCTTCAACTTATAAAAACAATCAAACATATATCAATATTAGAAAAAGACCGCATCTAAGTAGCTAAATGTTTCTGAGTTGACATCATTATGAAAAATGATATTTTGATCGAAATGCTCTGTATTCACTATTTAAGACTGTGGTGGTTTGAATGAGATGTCCCTCCTACTCTCAGACATTTGAACCCTTGATTGACAGGCAGTGGTTTGTTTGAAAAGGCTTAGGAGATGCAGCTTTGTTGAAGGATGCATGTTACTCACTGGTGGTAGTTTTAAGTATTTCACGGCTTCTCATGCAAAGCATTATCTTTAAATATTGCATCATGTTTCACAAAACATAATCATTTGCATCACTCTATGTTTGAAGTAATACAATGGTTTTCCTCCTTGCTTCAGCTGGGAAAATGACTAATACTATTAGCTTCTGATGACTGAAACTATGAAGTTAAGCAAGTATCAAAAATGAATTCCTACTCAGCAAACACAAGCTTGCGACTTTCTAAGATTCCTTAACTAATAGAGGAAACCAAGGGCTTATGTTTCATAATTGGGGCCTTGCTTCTGCTTCATACATAATGTCAGGAACAGCCGTGGATTGAAGTTTGGAGAATTGTTATTTCTTCTTGTGTCCAGTTTCCTTCCTCTCTGTCTTTATCACGGTGGCCATGCTTTATGCCTTTATCAGTTGCATTTGACACATTGTACAATCAGCCACAGTGTAGATATGTGCAGTACACTGGCCTCATGAGAATTTCTCACTGGGTCAGTGATTCTCGTTGTTATCACTGCCTGTGTCTTTAAACTTGCTATGGTGAGTTTTTCACCCCTCATGTATAATATTTGCAATCTTGTATTTTTAATGCAACTAGCAGAACCAGAAGGGATACTCTGAAGTCATCCTAAGCTCAGGCAAGTATGGAATTTCCTGGGGGCTAAGAGCAGAAATGAGAGTGAGAGGAAGAAGCACAAGGTACCTTTAGGTGGAGGATTTTAGAATGAGAGAGGAATGAAATTTAGAAGTGCATTTGGAATTTAGCTGCTCCTTCAGGACTTTCTTTAATAGACACTGGAGTTTTAAAAATATCTTCAAATTTACTACAAGGTTAGGATTCACAGCCAATTGTTTTTAGTCACATGTTGTTGTTGCAAGATGTCTCTTTAAAAATCCTTACAGTGAAGCCTTAAACCAGCCCTGTGTCTTTGAAAGTAACAGAGGAAGCATGGTGTGTGCAGTACCAGGGGATTGCTATGTGAGAAACATTGGTTGGGTTAGGGCTATACAATAAATGAATAACAAAAATTACTTTTCAGAGAGGGCACATGTACATTTCTGCCAAACTGAAATGACTGGAATTCCATAAATTTATAAAATAGGAAGTAAATTCATATTTCTTTATCAATGACAAAACATATCAAATCTCTGATGCATCAGCTGCTATCCCATGTTGTGACAACAGACACAGTAAAGGACAACTCAGAGAAAAATATATAAAACTTCGTGGATCATAGCACCTTCTTAACTTGTCTTTTAGGAAAATATTCAGAGAAGTAGTGAAGAGGGAGCCACTAACTTTCATTGTTTAGCTGGAGTTAGACTGAACTCTGATAAGTGCCATATATATATATATATATATATATATATATATATATATATATATATATATATTCTTCTAAGAAGGAGAAAAGGTTTTCTAAGCAAATATAGAACTCCATTATAAACTCAAGTCGTATTTAACCTATCTCAGATTTTTCTTTCTCTAAAGACTTGTCTACATTAATTATTTTGTATTATTTGAACTTATTTCTAAAGTGGCTTTTAAGATCTATTAGGGAAGGAACTTTGTACAGCGGCAAACATGTAGCAGAACAACATAAATGTAAAGTAAGTCAGTGTTGCTATTAAACAAGGGAGGAGTTTTTAAGCCACTTGTGCAGAATAAATCAAGCATAGATATTGCTAACAACTTGGTTTGTGTGTGTCTATACGTGAGACAGTGTGACTTCTTTTTAGCGTTATTCTTTTTATTGTTGTGAGTGAGTAACATATTACCTCATAACTTGAGCTTCCCAGAATGCCTGGAGTTCTTGTCAATCACATGACAGTCAATTTCCTTGAGGAGCATTTTACTTCCTTCGGAGTATAAGTCATCCAGGTCACTCTTCCTGTGCTCTGAATGTTGCTCAAATGACCTGCGCTTTCTCTATCTCAAAGGCTCAGCTCAGCAGATTCAGGCCCGTTAAGCCTCATGCAGATTGTAATGTGCTTGCATTTCTGCAGTGAAGTTAGATACTTTGGGGAGCTTTCATAGTGGGAAAAAAATCTAGACAATTTTTAAAATTGCAAAAACAAAAGTCCCAGATATTGTAAACATTTAGATTCTGGATGAGCATGAAACACAGGGACTAGCAAACATTTTTTTAAAAAATGTGACGTTATTAAAGTTAAACGGAAAAGTAAAACTTTAATATTTGGGTGTTCGGAGGTAGATTTGAAACATTGCATTCATTTTGAACCTGTTCAAAAAAGATATCATGGAGACATTTTATCACGAGGGCTAAGCTAATGTGTGCATGCATTTGGTCATTCTCTGTGTATCTTTGCATTTCTGGAACTCACAAAAGAATCTCAGAAGAAAGACAGGTACAAAAAATGGAACAGAGACTGAAGAAAAGCCCATCCAGAGACCGCCCGACCTAGGGATCCATCCTGTTTTCAGACACCAAACCCTGACACTTGCTAATGCCAAGAAGTACTTCCGACTGTTTCCCGAGAGTCTCTGCTAGATCCTGAACAATACAGATGTGGATGCTCACAGCCAATCATTGGGCTGAGCCTGGGAACCACAGTGGAAGAGCTAGGGGAAGGTCTGAAGGAGCTGAATGGGATTGCAACCCCATAGGAAGAACAATACCAACCCAGAGCTCCCAGGGACTAAATCAGCAACTGAAGAGTACACATGAAGGGACCCATGGCTCCAAATACATATGTAGTAGAGGATGGCCTTGTCTGACATCAGTGGGAGAGGGGACCCTTGGTCCTGCGGAGGTTTGATGCCCCATCGAAGGGGGATGCTAAAGCAGTGAGGCAGGAGTGGGTGAGTGGGTGGAGGAGCACCCTCATAGAGGCAAAGGGGAAGGGAGAGTGGAGGGATGGGACAGAGGGTTGTAGAGAAGTAATCAGGACAGGGGATACCTTTCAGAATGTAAACAAATAAAATGATTAAATAAAAAAGGTATCTCAGAAGAGAAAAGCAGTTTAGAACCACCATAAAGAATGGCAGCTCATACTGCTCATTTGTGGCAAGTTTCACATCAACATGCAAAATTCATAACTAAGGTGAGGGTTGTGATTTGGATATGAAGTGTCCTTCCCAATGCAATGCTGACAGAAGCTGGCTTGCAAGTAAAAGGACTTCTGCAACTTGCTTGGTTCCAGAGCTTTAAGTTCATCACCAGACTAACCCACAAATGCAGTCATAGCTGAATACACCCTAGGAAGTAAGTTAGTAAGGGCAGACCCAGAGAGATAAATCTTCTCATCACCCTCCTCCCACTTTTCTCTCTGTCTCCATTCACTCCACCATGTACTTGTGCTAAGATCTTCCTCAACCCAGGAGCCCAAATGGACCTTTCCTCCTCTAAAGTCTTCTTAAGTTTTCACACACCCCCTGAAGACACTAAGCCAGCAGGGAACACAAACTAATCTCCTGTGTCAAATTCTGCTTAGTGTATTAAGAATATGAGTCACAAGAACATGGCTGTGTGGCCGAGTAAGACTTTCCCAGACTGTAAAGCATGTTATACAAAGCTCCTCTCAAACAGACACTTAGCGATTGGTTCCAGATTATTCCCAAAGGATATGTTAAGATTAGAGGTTTTGCCATTTTTGAAACTCATTACCCTGCCACTTTCTGAGCATCAAATACA